CTCTCCTTGTACCTTGTATCATAATTCGTAAATGCTTTTCCAGAATTTTGGAATTCCTTCTCTACCGGTAAAAATTTTCCTCAACTTCTAAGCTCCTGCACCCGGCTTTGACTCTGTTTTCGCCTTGAAAACACAGAAGAAGGGAACAGCATTTTTCTTGCTTTGTTGCCGATGGAAGGTGGTGGAGGTTCCGTGACGTGCGGGTCGTGGATCCGGCGACCGGAGAATGTTAACCTGGTGGTTTTGGGCAAGTCTAGGACTCCTAATTCTGTCATCGAGATCTTCTCTTTTGATCCCGAGACCACTTCCCTCTCTCCTTCTCCCTTGGTATGCTCTTTCATACACTTCTGTCTCCCACTATAACAACGTTGGTTTTCGATTTTTCTTTATTGGGTTCCTGAAAGATGATTTTTTTTTTTTTGTACTTAATTGATTTCTGATGTTGGATGTGTGTTAAAGGATGTTGCTTGCTTTTGAATATAATATCAATAAATTAGGCCTATTTTCAGTATAGTAAGAATTTTGGATGATAATTTGGGATTTCTATTTAAAAAGGAAATTTTCTCTTTATAATTTTACTCAGGTCAGCCTAAATTGATGGGTTTATTCAGTTTTTTTTAATGAATTTTCGAATTTTCCGTCTGTCTATTTTTTGAGTTTAGGCTATGCATGAGCTTGAAGAAAGTGAAGGTGAACCCATAGCCATTGTGGTTCATCCCAGTGGAGATGATTTTGTGTGCTCCACAACAACTGGTGTCTGCAAGTGAGTGTTCTTTGTCTCTTACCTTATTCTTTTTTACTGACTCATTCTTATTAGTGGTTAAATTATTTCATATCTGACAGTCAATTATTTTACATCTCTTTCTTCTGTTAAGGGTATTGCTGTTTACTGATTGTAGAACTTCTGTGCAACATAACTTTTGATGCAAAATTCATCGATCTGTGAAATATTATTCTAGGAATAAGAATTTTTTGATATTACTCAATGGCTTTGACATTGATCTCTGGGCAAAATGATGGTTTCATGATCATTCATAATCACAACTACAATACTCTTCCATGTATGCATGCTTTATCTGTTTCATTCTCTATCTCTGTCAGCATTTGCTTGATCATCTGTCTTTGTATAATGAGTGCAATTGCATACATTTTGGCCTGGGGAAGAAGAGACATTTTCAGATTAGTGGCTTAACCTTTGCCATGTGCTTGCCATTAACATGCACATTATTTATGATTTTTCAAATATAGGCTGAGGCATTTCTTGTGATGTGCAGATTGTTTGAGTTGTATGGTCATGAAGCAAACTTGAAGTTGTTTGCCAAAGAATTATTTCCTCTCAATGATGTTGGTCAACAGAAGTGCCTGGCATTTAGTGTTGATGGTGCTAGATTTGCTGCTGGCGGTGTGGTAAGCAGCAGCCTCTCACTCAGTTGATGAAGAGTTAGAATTCTCTTTCTCCCCTTTTAGTTTGGAATGTTAATACACCTTCGTTATTAATGACAGGATGGGCATCTTAGAATCTTGGAGTGGCCAAGCCTGCGCATCATATTAGATGAAGCAAGAGCACATAAATCCATCCGGGATATGGATTTTAGGTAGGAATTTAGCATATTTTTCTCTGATATCAAACATCTCTTTTTTGACACTAATCTTGGGTACAAACACAACGAAATACTGCTTAAAAGGTTATATAAGAATTTTCTTGGCATTTTAAATGAATGGAAAAGTCTGTCTGATTGCCATCAGAGTTTTCAATAAGATTAGGCTGTCTCTGGAATCAAAAAATGCAATGATGGTTGAAGAATGATGAAGTTCCTATTTAGTTCACTCAGCAAAGGATTGCTAGCAATTATTGACCATTAAACCATTTGATTGAAGATGATGTATTTTGAATCTTCAATTGAAAAAGTACATTGTATGGATATATATGTCTCAATAACTGTTAAATTAATTTTAACGTCTACTTACAACATTTCTTTTATTTTTTTTCTTTAAGTAGTATTGATTTTTTTTCTTTTCTTTTTTGGTCTTGTTTGCTTGCATTTTCTAGCCTAGATTCAGAGTTCTTAGCTACAACATCAACTGATGGTTCAGCAAGAATATGGAAGGCAGAAGATGGTGTTCCTGTAATTACTTTAGCTCGCAACTCGGTATGGTTTATTTAACCTAAGATTTGTTGGTCATATGCTGTAGGTTTAGTCTTACATTTGATATATTTTTGGTGCTTACTGCAGAATGAAAAAATTGAGTTATGTCGGTTCTCCAAGGATGGGACAAAGCCATTTTTGTTTTGCACAGTTCAAAAGGGTATAGATATCTCTTGTTCAAAAGAAACATTGTCTTTTTATTATTATCATTGACATTAATTTAACTTCATAACAAGACAGGTGATAAACCTGTCACTGTTGTTTATGACATAAGCACATGGAACAAAATTGGGCATAAAGGACTACTTAGAAAGCCTGCTTGCATAATGTCTGTCAGCCTGGATGGGAAATATCTTGCTCTGTAAGTACTTAGCATTGCTTTCTTTCTAGCCATCTTATTTTAATCATCAAGGCTATCTTAGAATTAGTTTAATAAAGCATGCTTGTCTTGTGCCAGCTTATCATTAGTTTTCAGTATCTAATCTTCTTTAGGTTTAAATGTTTGTGAGTGGGGGTCCATGATGCTAATTTGTGTATGTTTGCATTTGTAAAAATTGTAAAGTGAAAAAGAGAAAACATAAGAAAAAGAGGAATGGCTGGTGGATTAAGATTGGTAGTCATGAACTTTTGTTTACGATGCTTTGAAATATCTGCCAGGTAAATTTGCAAAATTGAGTGCTTTGCCAGATGTTTCAACTTGCATATTGATTGCTATTGTTGTAGGGGAAGCAAGGATGGAGACATCTGTGTGGTTGAAGTAAAGAAAATGAAGGTCTGGCATTGGAGTAAGAGGCTACACCCCGGTACACCTATTGCAACACTTGGGTTCTGTCCCAGTCAAAGGTAAAGTTCATTGAAATAATAATATTTTGGTTAATCATAGATACAGGGAATTCATTAAAACCACAATTACTGGGCTTATTTCTGAAGAGGCTATGTTCCGCTATTGCACTCCTTGTCTTTAGGGGAATCAAAGGATTTGTAAAGATTTGGAAACTTCACCTCCTATTAACATAAATCTCCTATAAGATTCTATAAATGTTGTATTCATGAAATGCACTGTTGGCTTGAGCCATTGTTACATCATTTAGACCTTTCATGGCCCTGGTGATTGCACCCTCCCAGTGTTGCACTTACAAAATTTCATTGCCTTGGTTGCATCTTTCCAGGGTTGTACTTACTACATCTGGGGAGTGGGGAGCTATGGTAACCAAATTAAATGTTCCTGCAGATTGGAAAGGTCTCTCTCTCTCTCTCTCTCTCTTTCACACACACACGGACACACTCACGCGCACTCTTGGAATGGTGCTTATGATAAAAATGCTCATAATTTTGTTCCCGTGCAGAGTGGCAGATTTACTTGCTGCTTATCGGACTCTTTTTGGCGTCAGCAGTTGCATTTTACATATTCTTTCAGAATTCAGATTCATTTTGGAACTTCCCTTCTCCAAGTAAACAAGCAGCAAGACCAAAGATGGAGTTATTTGGAGATCCACAGTCAGATGATCAATGGAGTCCATTTGAACCTTTAGACATGTGAGCATTTGTTGGATTCAGTTACTGTAACAACAAACTATCAACCAGTTTCTTGATGTTAAATTATATATCATTAATTTCTAATCCCTGTACCATGCCACATAGATGGTGTTGCACTTGTAATTTTAGGGAATAGAAAAAGTGGGGATCTTGATCTTTAGACACTTTTCTTTTGATTGTTTCCTTTTATTCAATAAAACCAGTTTTCCCTCTTGAATTATAGAAAATACAGAAGATAATTTTCTTATGTGTAGTACATATTACATTCATTCCAATGGTGTTTTTTTGGGTAGAACACTACCCCTTCCCAAACCCATTTCCACCCATTCCAAGATTCACACTTCATTCAAATAGTGCACATAAGATAAGACTAAGAGTTTTTCAACCCTTCTACAACAGTAGATCCCTCATGTAACTCTCTTTAAAATGATAAAATCAACCCCACCTTTCAGCCTTGGGACCCCGTATTTCTTTCTGCCTTATGGCTCCTTTGGAAAGGCAGAAACCAGTTCATTTTTAAACAATAGAGAACGGCACCTTAGGTGCTTTGCTCGCAGATATTAATACGCTGATTACACTTTTCTCGCTCAAAACAATGTAATCTCAGGACAGCCTCGGCATGCTGCACAGCTGGGGACAACCATCCTAGACGCTCCTCCACCCGGTTTACACCGTATTTTTACTTGGTGATGCTATGGGAACTACGTTTCCCTGAGCTTAGTATTTAATTTCTTTGCTAATGTACCCAAAAAAAAAAAGAAAAAACCCCACCTTTGAAAAAAGGGAGAAAAAAAGTCCTTTCAACATTTTAAGGCTATGGTAGCAAAAAAGGAAAAAAAAAAAAAGAAAGAAAGAAAGAGAGGGGGAAGGAGAGTGTTATTTTCTTACTCTGAAGGCGAGTAAGAGATTTTTCAAGATCCAATATTTGAGGACAATGACAAAGTGAGGGGCACTACCACTTGTTGGAAGCGAATCACCTGGATGGGCACTACCACTTGTAGGGAAGCGAATCACATGGATGGTAAGCTTGAGAATCTTTCAAAAGGCAATCCCTTTTTCATTCGAACCAGCACCTATAAAAAATTAAAAATCCCCGCACCAAAAATATCAGGGAAAAATCACCTCTTCCGTCCCTGCTCACTTCCCCCCAAGATTTTTCATCTCCTCTTCTTCCCATCAGATGAATTGTCTTCAAAATCTTCCAAGGTTCGATTCCTTCTTCCACTCATTTCAAATTCTAGATTCTGTTTTCTCCTTTGTTTTTGTTTTTGTTTTTTTTTTTTATTTATTTTTTATTTTCCTTTAATTTTGCTGTTTTTTCCCTTTGTTTTCACTTTTCAGATACCATGCGGTGCCTTTTCAAGGCATCAAATGCAATCCAAAAAAGACTTCTTCGTCTTCCCTAAACTTACTGGTAATCTTCGTCTCCTTCTCTTTGTAGATTCAGGTAATATACGTACCCAAAAACACAATCTACACTTGTATTTATAAACGCTTTGGGTTGAATCATCTTATTTGAATGCAGGGACTGGTGAATTGTTGTGATCAACGGAGAAGCATGGCGATAAAGGTAATTCAAGCATCATATGAAGCCTTTCATTTACTTAAGCGGTGCTAATATGCTGTGGATCTTGTGTGTGTTTTTTATAATTTCATTTTGATTGACATGTAAATCATGATTTGGAGAAGACTACTTATCGTTTTTCTTTTTCTTTTTTTTCATCTGATAGGCGATATCTGGTTCCACATCAGGTGTGGAGAAGAGTGACTCTGAATCGGAGGGGAAGAAATCGGAGATTTATAGCCATAACATGACAGAAGCTATGGGTGCAGGTGAGCTAAGCTAATTTATCTATTTCCTTTTCGGTCGAATTGATACTTTATAGATCAGAAATGTGGCCCTTCACATAGATTTACTGTAATCATAAGCTAAAGAGTGCAGGAATAGGAGTTTGAATATGTTGCTTGAATTCATAGTCAGCTTGTTGTGTACTTTTATGGTAGCCTTTATGTATATTTTGCTTTATAGGCATATCCCCTGGAGTTTAAATCTTCATCAGTTGTGTGATTTTTCTAATGATTTGTTTGTGGTTGTTTGATACAGTGTTGACTTATAGGCATGAACTTGGAATGAACTACAACTTCATCTCTCCAGACCTGATTGTCGGTTCTTGCCTGCAGGTGATTCTCATTTCTAAAGTCAAAATGAAAAAGTAAAATCGATTAAATGATGATCTGATTTCTGCTTTGTTTTCTTTAAATTGATAGACACCTCAAGATGTTGACAAGCTTCGTGAAATTGGAGTGAAAACTGTATTTTGCTTGCAGCAAGATCCAGATTTGGAGTATCCTGGATAATTATATATCTGTTCCATTTGAACTTATGATTTGAAAATATATATATGTTATCCCCTATTAGTACATGTGTTGGTATTGTTACTTAAGCAATAGCTGAGACTGTTAAAGCATGTGAACAAAAAGGCTCTGCAATTCCTTTACTGTTCACCAGATATTTTGGGGTTGATATAAGTGCTATTCGAGATTATGCCAAGGCATGTGGTGATATTGAACACTTGCGTGCTGAGATAAGGTTAGTCATGGCAAAGGAGTGATTGCTGACTTCCTGTATTATCATTAGTTTCTCTATGAAAGCCTGGTTTTATACTGGTGTGAAGTGACATAAGTAATTCATCTTAGTTCTCAACACTTTTTATGATTCAAGCAATGCAACTTAATAGCCAATCTCATCTTTCCTAATTTTTGTTATTGTTTTTAACATAGTATTATAGGAGCTAATATTAGATGTGTCAGGGATTTTGATTCATTTGATTTACGGATGCGGCTTCCAGCTGTGGTTAGTAAATTATCCAAGGCCATAAATCGGAATGGAGGTGTGACATATGTACACTGCACTGCTGGACTTGGAAGGGCTCCTGCTGTTACGGTACAATGCCAATTTTGCTTCTGAAATATGTCATTTTACCACCTGGCTTTTGAAGTCCATTCTTATGTTATGATCATTCTAGTCCCTGTAATTTATCTTTTTCATACTGATATGTAAAAATCCTGTTATGAATTACAGATGGCATACATGTTTTGGGTTCAGGACTATAAACTCATGGATGCTCACAGATTTCTGCTGGTAACTCTGCATTCATCCTAATAGTTTTTTTTAATCTTACTATGTTAGTTTTGTTTAGATGATAATCTGGATAGTCCAAAAGCATGACTATTATCTGGATAATTAAATAGGCTTGCTCCATTAAGAATCACCATAAAGAGTTTAAAACGTTTCTTTTTAATTAGGGAGGGTCATCACACATTGAGTATCAATATTAAATTCTTGATATTTTGGAATTGGAGGTTTTTTCAATTTATATTGATTGATTTATAAATTGTCCAGTTCCTTGTGTGGTTACCACACAAATCCCTTAGTTTGGTTGTTAATTATGTAATATTAGAGATCCTTGAGAGAGAACCATGGTGTTGGCACTTGGCAGTATGCTTCATTGCAATGGATCTTTGTGCTCTTTTCTGATATACCTAATTGTTTCTTTATTTTCAGAGCAAACGGTCATGCTTCCCCAAATTGGATGCTATCAGAAGTGCAACTGCAGATATTGTGAGTCATTTTCCCTTTTTATGTTAGTTTAGGTGTTATAAACAAATAATTGATGAAGCCTTACAGATCATTATCTTCTTTCTGCACGCTAGAGCTTTCTATTTGCTATTTAAAGTTAAAGTTTATAGTATTTGGTACTACAGTTATTGTAATGCTTCTAGTTTGCCTGGAAATATTCAATTAGGTTCTGCAATTGTTTAACATACATGATATTTGGTTTATCAATTCTGCAGACCCTTATTTTGAAATAATGATCTGCCCATGTAAGGCATTAACATATATTCTGAGCTTCCTCAAACGATTGAGGCATTCACATTATTGTAAAAGATTATCATCATGTATTCTGTTTGTACATCACAGTTCTGCTTGTTCTACCCTGTTGTTTTTAAGAAAAGACAAAAGAAGAAAAATCATGCCTTGGACTCTTGCTAGCTTGTTGTGTGTAATAGATGATCAGTTGCAGTATTTTCTAAACTATGAGTTTCATAAGTGATGCATTATATACTTGAACTTCAAATACAGAAGTAAATAAGAAGGAAGTTATTGGCTTATTGCAAACTTATTTAGCTTATTTTCTCAATTTAAAGCTCACAGGTCTAAAGAAGAAGCTTGTTTCTTTTGTATGGGAAGGTAAAAATTGCTCTTTGGTGGAGATGGCTGGACTTGATGTAGGATGGGGCCAGGTAATGTCTTATATGATTGATATATTATTAGTTTGTTAAGATGCAAGAAACTTCTCTTATAAGATGATATCATTCTTTGTTTCCCATACATCTGATCATTTTAAAATTGCCCTCCCCCTTTCCTCAAACACAACAGAGAATACCTTTAACTTTTGACAAGGAAAAAGGACTGTGGATTCTCAGGAGAGAACTGCCAGTAAGTGTATTTTGTTTGTAATATTCTTAAGATATATGAGTCCTCACTCCTCACTTTTGAATCTGCATCTGACAGTTGTCTCAGGCTTTCTCTGCCTCTGTCTGTCCCAATTTTGATATAAATTTCTGCTATTATTATTAATGTATGTTCAATTGTTCATGTTTTGCTGAGCAAATGAAAAATAGCCATACCGTAATACTGTCAAATATTTGCTGCTGCTGCTTCAATTGTATATTTTGTTAAAATTACTGCATTATTGTTGCTCCCTCGTACTTGTTGTCAACTACTAGTTTCAAGAAGCAAGATCCACATTTATATTTTGTTACAATTGTCATGCTGAGAGTACCAAATTTCATCATAATCCAAATTTCTTGGTAGGAGTGTATCAAGTCCTTCATTATATTAAAGTTAGACATGGTAGTTGTGAAATGTAGCATGGAGCTTGTACTTGGTAGCTTGATATTTTGTGTAGTTGTTCAGTGTATCTGAGATCATTCAGAATGATTTTTTTTTTTTCTCTCATGACCAGATAGATTTTTCAATGTAGGGAAGATATTTCTAATAGAAAAGCTATCCTGGAAATGAAACTCACAGTATGCTATCTCATCTCTTCAACAGGAAGGACACTATGAGTACAAATACATTGTTGATGGTGAATGGCTTTGCAATCAAAATGAGCGGGTATCTGCTCCTAACAAAGATGGTCATGTCAACAATTATGTTGATGTAAGTTTCTGCTCTCTAGCTGACTGGGAACGCAATTACACGTATGAGTTTTATTGCTCAAGAATGGTCAAAATCATGGAAAATTAAATAACTTCTCTTCTTCTCTTTGTACAGGTTGTTGACAATAATCCTAGCAGTGTGAGTGCAGCAATTCGGAAGAGGTTAAATGATGAAGATTTCGATCTCAACAAAGAAGAACGGCTGAAAATCAGAGGGTTCCTGGAAGCTTATCCTGATTATTAAGAAATGTACTAAATAAGCAATGGTACAAGGCATATTGGAGCATCATATATATTTAAGACAATGTATCATAAGCAACACTACTGAGTTGTTGTAGAATAGCTAATAAAAAGTTTCAAACTTCCAATAAAGTTTCTCTTTGCAAGCTTCCATTCTTGGGGAGCAAGGTTAGTTGTCCTTCCCCCATTCCTAAAAATATAATATACATTGGAAGGGAACTGGGTAGATTGATATTAATTGTTGGTGGGTCATACCTCATAAGAGAACAGAGGAAGCATTAAGATAAAGTGGTTATGTGAGAAGCATCTTTTTAATTTCCACTGCCATGTGTTCCTAGCTTGCAATTGGATGCATGCATTGTGATACAGGGGACATGTCACTAAGTAGGCATTATTTTTCATGTGATCTCATCTATTGTTGGGGCCTAATCATCAAACTGACAGTTCTTGTTTTCCATTCGCTCATCATTTTTTAATCAATCAGAATCTCCCTAATTTATATTAGAACCACCGTCACCCTAAACTTATCACACAACAATGATTGGGTAATATGCAAGATGATTGAACCGGG